CCAATGGTATCTGTCGTAGCCCATCAATCGCCACCCAGATGTACATGATGGAGATACTTACGGAGACTGCCCACTTTGTTCGGCAAGCGTGTGAACACCAAAAATAGTGCCGCGTTTATCGCTGCCCACGATGACCAGCGCCCGTTCCACTCCGGCTATTGGATCAGCGATCACAGCTGTTTTGAACACCTCCCACTTCCCCTCAAGATCTGATATGTCAAGACCTTTCTCGGCAGACAGTTGACGGATGAGTCTCGACCCAACAGAGCCGACGATGATGCCCGTTGCTGAAGTCGAAATCGTAAAGTTGGTAGTGGCATTACTGAGTGCGGGTCGGGTTCCAGTGATCTGCTCGAAGTCGTCCACCAGGCTATTGAGCGCAATGTGAATACCCACGAAATCATCTGCGTCAGCTATGACGGTAGCGCCAGCAACATCCAAGGCTTGTTCTCCAGGCTCGAAGCCCACGAACTTCTCCTCGAGCAAGGCATGCACCGTGTATTTCGAAAAGGCACAGAAGGCCGCAAAAATCTTCACAACCCGCATCGCTGAAAGACGGGAAAGGCATGTATGCTCCTAGCTGAGCTACGAGGGATCAGTCTGAACATTATAACGACAACGTCGGTGTAATGAAGACTGCGCGGGGAACTTCCCAGTAATAGGAATCCTTTCTGCGGAGGATCTCCAGCCGCATGTGAAATTCCAGCATCGCCATGCGAGCGATACGAAGTTCCCCAACTCTTAGCTATACAGCGGGGGGATAAGCTCCTCCTTGGACTGCATGCTAGGGCAACCGATGTGATCATCTGGGGTCGCTAAACCCAGAGTGGGGTATAATGTGTCTGTCGAATCTATGAGCTCGGGTCAAAGTCATCCGCGACCGAATATCCAAGGTAGTCTACGATTAGATCGCGTACGCTGCATCGTAACATGGCTGCATCTTCAATGGGACCAGCAGATGGGTGGGAATTACAGACCGTTGCCAGTGGCCGCGCAACCGCGTGTCTAGCGCGTCTTCTCCGCACTGTGCTCGAAAGTCTATGTTTGGCGGATTCGGCTACTATCATGATCATGAATGAGCGTTTTGTATATAAAAAAGAGTCTGTGGTCACGGTAGAGGCTGGCAGTATTCTTCCGTGGTAGTTGTGAGCGGTCAAGTGCACAAGGAATGGAGTCGCGTTGCCGGCTGATGACGTCACGTGTTCTAGCGCCGGTGCGCCGAGCCTTCCAAGCTGGGGGTCGCGGAACCCAAACGCGTTCTCTCATGCATATCACATCTTGTCAGCATCCGCATCACGAAACGTTTTTGCGATATCTTTGCGCTGTGCTTGCACTGTCTTGAGTCTTCTGTCTTTATTCTAAGCTTGTTTAGCTAGACCTGGGGTTCGTCGCATTACGCCGATAGACCATCTCAATGACCAGCCCGAACCAAGACCAGGCCGCCGTCTGAGTTAAATGCACACTCGATTCTTCTTTGATATTGGAGCGCTATACTTCGTGTGTGTCGCAAACTCCACAGCAACAGCTGACAAAACACCATATCAGCTACCATGTGCTGTTACCCGATCTGGGCCTCGAGAAGCAGCTCGGTCCGCTACACTTCAAGTCGAAGAAGTCCATCACCGTATCGGCATCCGTCGGGATATCATGCGTTACACTCCCTGCCTCGTACGCTTCGAACTTGTCGCCATACCGAAACCTCGTCCATCCTTCGAAAGGAACGTCCTCCGTAATCTCCGTCGGTTTCTGGCTCACATCAAACACGCTCGTCCACTGTTTGATCTGCTCACGGAAGTTCTGTGGATACAGTACGGTGTCCGCTGTGCCATGGAGAGTTTGGAACTTCGGTCGAAAGCCGCGATACGTGGGATATGCGTTGCGCACAAGAGCTGCCCATTGCGGTCCGTTCTTGACGATTTGGCCTCTAGCACACGCGTCACTCCAGACGTCGAAGCCGTCGCCAGCAAAACAGCCGAAGGGTACACCGGCCCATGCGCTTCCCGCTGCGAATACATCTGGATAACTACCAATCAGGACTGCGGAGATACGGAGTCAGCGTGTGTCTCACATGCATCTTATGCCGTCCGGTCTTACCGTTGGTCATCATCGCGCCTGAACTCGTTCCGGTAACGAATACGCGGTCTTTGTCTGCATGGTACTTTTCCAAAGTCCAGCGCACCATGGATACAATGCCTAGCGCGTCGCCTCCTCCATTGTGGGTGAGCGACTCTTGGCTACTCACATCCCAGCATTGATCCGTATTCAGCGTTGAAGCATTGGGATAGATCGAGATAAACCCATATTCGTCACCAAGCGAAGCCCATGGCCGATAATCGAAGACCTGCTGCGCCGTACCTAAAGATGAGTGTACGAAGTCAGTAAATGTCTCGCAGACAGTTCGTACACGGGATAATCGCACCATGGCACCAATGGGGAGACACCAAGATCGGGGGGTTTGGCGGCAGGTTGGCCGGCACGTAGATGAACATCGAGACATTGCGCGGATTAGGGCCGAAGTCGGTGATCTCCGTGAGCTTGGAGGTGAGCTGCGCGGATGCCACAGCTGCGAAGAGCACAGGCAATATGGAGTTGAGGGCGAACATGGTGTCGACTGAGATGAAGGTTGACCGACCTAGTTCCGGAGTCCCTGCACCATGGAGGCTTCTTATAGCTATCCTCGACCGGAGTTCCACAGAAGCAAGTAGTACGGCGATCTATTCTGTGCCCCGTTTCCAGCGCCGGGTACATGGCGTTGCAGATCGCACTTGCGCGTACACCTGAGCATGCTCTACGTACCAACCATTCGTCTAGCCCTATCACGACACGGAGGTGAACTTATATTAACCAGCTTCTATCCTGCGATATTTCTCCGCAGCTGTTCCCCGTTAGCGTCAATTCCAAGCCTTGGATATATCCACAACATGCATACGCCGGAATGCCCAGATCACATGCTATCGGCTGGACGCTCTAGTTTGTGCGAGAGCGCGGACGTGCCAAGCATGCAGTGGACTATTTTTCGTCGCGCAATTATTCTTTCTTCCACCATGGTCACTGTGAAACGCTCCTGCGACCGCAATCGGGATTTCACAGCGCGCGATTCAACTCTCTTTATAGAACAGACGACTCCACTGGCACGATCTAATGTCCCCTTTCACAATGTCACAATGCATCGCGATATGGCCTCAATACGTAAATACCTCGAGTATGTCTGTTCTGGTCAGAAGGGAGTCATACTCTGGATCAACCGGAGGCCTTGTTACCGTTTTTATACATCGCGACAACGATGTTACCCTTGACACAAGATGAAGTCTTCCGGCAAATCAAACAAAAGGCCAAGCGCAAGCAACACGAAAAGACGGCGTTCACCTCTGGCGTTGTCACTAAGCTTCTGAAAGACTTGTACAATCCCGACCTACAGGGTAGCCTATTCTTCTACTCTCAGGACGGAAGCGGTATTCCCAGACGTAAAGTAGCTACACACGCAGCGAATCGAAAACATTACTGCTCGGTTGCTCTGGAAACCGCGTTCAACGGAGAACATTGGCATGACCAGTCTAAGCCAGCAGCCTTCCGAGGTAACTGGCCTCCCAGCACAATTGAGGGTCTTGTTGGAGACGTTAACGAGACCGAGTCCTGCATCGAGCCATGCCCCAATTGCGAAGCACCAGAAGATGTCGCACGTTGTATGTGTGGATACAATGCATGGGTCAAGTATCTGCATGGCTTCTGGCTCTCTCACTTACTGCTACAGGACGTCGGTTCGCGCGGTCACGGTGTTTTTGCACGCAAGGTGATTCACGACTCTACCATTGTAGGAGAGTATACAGGCCAGATCATACCTTTCAAAGACGATGGAACTCCAGCTCATGGACGAGATGCTTATCGTGTCGGGATCTCGATCGGTAAACCAAACTTTGACCAAACTCAGACACACGCCACAGCTTCTATAGACGCTCTTCATACCGGAGGTGTGACTCGCTTCATCAACCACTCTTGCAATCCGAATACGGAATTTGTAGAGATGGTGTGTTCTTTGGATCGTCGAGCCGTCTATGTAGTCACAAAGCGAAAAGTCGCTATCGGCGAAGAGCTGACACTAGACTACGGTTCGAAATGGTTCAAGGGTGACCAATACTGTCTATGTAATACGGCTGACTGTAGGAACCCACACAAGATATCTGAGAATGCCGATGCATCCGAGGTAAAGGTCAGCGGAGATAAGACCGCAGAGGAAGAAGGGGACGAGGATGATCCGGAGGATACCTCGACAGCGGCGGATGATAGCGCAAGTTCCAGCGAAGCATCTGATGTATATGCTCATAGCCCTACTTCTTGAGTAGCCAACACAAATACCTTGACTTATATGGATAGAGCGAAATGTCCGCGTTCAGTCTACCAAAGAGCCCTCCTTCTGTTGATCAAAAGTGGGTCAGCGATCTTCTCCTACTTGAAAGCCTCAACTGTAACTAACTATCCAAGCTCAAGCTTGGTCGCGCGTCCATACGAAGGCTACGTCAAGAGTGGGCGGAACTCAAGATCGGCTCAATTAGGCCGTCGCCCGGGCAGACAGCTATTCGGCCCGTTTCCACGTGGATCATCATTCGGAGGTAACGGAACAATGACGACCCGAAAACTGGGGATCCTGAACGCGATCGGAGGTACTGACATGAGATGATAAAATGACAACGGGCGTTCTCCGGTCGCCCAACTCGACTCCGAAACCTCCCCATTCGCGAGATCATGTGCGCACGAGCTCTTCCGATAGAACCGCCCTTGTATTGCGCCGTTTGGGGCTGCCTAGTAACGGTCGCCCTTAGCGCAATGCGTGGGGTACAATAACTTGCTATGGCAAGCTCTGTTCCCCATCTCGCACGATCTTAATTACAGCTGGGCCAGATTGCGCTACAAAATGGCTAGCCGGCAGCAGCCCTCTCTTTTGCGACTGCTCTTTTGGGTGACGGTCTTCGAGTCGGCACCATCTGTTTTGTCGACTCCAAGTCATGGCAGATCTCAAGAACCGTTATGGTCCTTCGTAGGTAAGTTTTGACTGTACGAAGTGCATGTGAGACATATCTGACTTCGTACAGATCCTTTGATCGGTACCGTGGGCCCAAAACCTGGTTCCGCCATCGCAGGCGGTAACTCCTTCCCCGGCGCAAGTTTACCATGGGCGATGGCAAAGCCAGGCATTGACACGAGCTACATTGGGCTTCCGAATGGCAGTGCAGTGGACGCCAATGCTGGATATACGCCTTTGGGGAATGTAACAGCAGTGAGCATGACGCACGTCAGCGGATCTGGCGGAGCTCCAACTTGTCAGTCCTCTGCTTGCTTAAACGAGGCGCCTACGAGTATTAACAAGATCTAGACGGATTGATCTCGCAGATGCCGCTGTATGGCAATCTCGAGTCTATTAACCTTGCCGACAACATGACCTATGCCCAGAACCGCAGTCTGGAATTGGAGTCCGCAACAGTGGGCCTCTTCACAACGACTCTACAGAACGGCATCAAGATCGAGATCACTTCTGGTAATCATACCGGATTCATGCGATACACGTTCCCTCAACCAGAAGTCCCTTCGAACAACCTTTCCACTTTCAACGTTGATTCCACGATGGCAGGCGCCTTGTCAGCCAACGAGCACGATGCGCATGTCCTAGTCGACCTCACACACGTGTTGCCAGCCTATTCTTCGATGGCATACTCTCAAAAGTTCCTACACGGGCAGCTACGTGTCGGGTCTTCCTCGAACGGATTGCCATCATACCATGGATCAGCGACCTACACGGGTGGCTGGCCGCAGCCTGAAAGTCATACGATCCATTTCTGCGGGAACTTTAGTGTGCCTGCAGGATCTGTGCTCACCCCAACATCCGACTATGTTCAGGGAGAACTTCCCAGTACTCCCGGCGCTGGCACGTTTAGCTGGCAGTATAATCCTTATTCGCCACCAAGCTTCAAGTCTCGCCCTGTGCCGCGCGGGTATGCTGACGTCCGGTCCTATGCTGGGAGCGGAATGGGCCTTGGCGCTCTTTTCAGCTGGTCGCCTAAGGAGCAGCAAGTCAACGGCACCCTTACTCTTGAGGCCAAATTGGGCATTTCGTACATTAGTGCTGCACAGGCATGCTCTCACGTGGAAAATGAGCTTCCTGATGCGAAATCCTTCGAGGATGTCGTTGACGAAGGAAGGCAAGCATGGGAAGAGAAAATCCTGAGCAAGATACAGATTGGAGACGATGGCCATTCGACAAGCAACAACAAAACCTTGAAGAGGATGCTTTACTCTGGGCTGTATCAAACAGGTCTGATGCCAACTGACAAAACCGGCGAATGCCCTAATTGGGAGTCCAACGAAGCTAAGCCATACTACGATGACCATTATACGCTCTGGGACACTTATCGTACCCTGCTACCCTTGTATCACCTGGTCTTCACGAAGCCGTACTCACGCATCCTTTCTGGCCTCATTTCTATCTTCACCGAAGAGGGGTACCTGCCAGCCGGTCGCGCAGCAAACTGGAATGGTCGTGTTCAGGGCGGCACACACGCAGACATGGTCCTAGCGGACGGTTTCATCAAGAGTGTCCATGCACTATCCGGCGAGACAGGTCGCGGTGAGCTCGACAGTGGCATTGATTGGCAAGAGGCCTACAAAGCAGTGATGAAGGACGCGAACGTATTGCCCGAGCGCAATGTTGATCCGGTCGCCTTCGACGGCGCCACCAAGGAAGGCAGAGGTGCACTGGACGATTATCTCTCCCTCCGCTTCATCACGCGCAACCACACCCGCAGTGTTTCTCGTGGCGTTGAGTACCCGCAGAACGACTTCGCGATCTACAGCATGGCAGCTGGACTAATGAAGTCCCAGGAAGACATCGATCAGATGCGCGAACGAGCAAGCTGGTGGCAGAACCAATGGAATCCCATGGCAAACACAACTCTCAACGGCACGGGTACATTCACTGGCTTCCCAGGCCCTAGAAACGCGGATGGGACGTGGAACACCACGGCGTATGACCCGCTGAGCTGCGGAACATGCGGTTGGGATGCAGACATCTACGAAGCCAAGGTTTGGGAGACTGCATTCAGTGTCGCACCACACGACATGGCCAAAGTCATAGATCTGATGGGCGGTGACGAGCCTTTCGTCCGTCGGCTAGACGCCTCTTTCATTCCAGGCTTCGGTACATCAGTCGGCGCAAACAACGATGCCGGCTCTGCTCTCTTCAACCCAGGGAACGAACCATCCTTTGCAACGCCATTCCTCTACAACTACGTACCTGGCATGAACTGGATGACAGTTAATCGGACTCGAGCTATCGTCGACGACTTCTACAGCGATGACCGTAACGGATACCCCGGAAACATCGACGGCGGTGCTCTACCCAGTTGGCTGGTATTCAACCTCATGGGCATGTATCCGGTGTCTGCCCAGCCGCTTTACCTTCTTTCTGCTCCCCGATTTTCTTGGCTCAAGGTTTCGCTTTTTAGTGGAACGGCAGTCGAGACGTCGTTGACTATTCGGGCCCAGAACCTGTCAAGCACAAGCTATTACCCGCAAAAGGTTACCTGGAACGGTCAGGAACTCGATCGAGCTTGGTTGAAGCATAGCGAGGTTGCGGAAGGAGGCGAGTTGGTGTTTCATATGGGTGAAGAGCCTAAGAAGTGGGATGTTGGTGAGCGGCCGTGGTCACTGTCAACATCGTCGCTGTAGGCATTGTCATATGAGTCGCAATCTAGAAGAAAACCTTTTAGGGTAGAAACATACATTGTATTGAAAGTCATCTAGTCTTCAAAGTTCAACAGCGTGAATGCAGCAAGAGGCGACACGAGTTCAGGGCCCTTCACCTTACCAGCCAGCTTGCCCTCCATTAACCAAAAGGGTGTCAACGAGCTTCCCTTCCCTGGAAGTTTCGACAGTAACTAGCCCAGTCGGCACATCGGGCAGGACAATCTGCCCCTGGCACATTGTACACACCCTTCTTTCCTTTTTCACTTCACTCAGTACCATATCCAACTCACTCATCTTCGGCGCCAACGTGCCACGCTGTGTTGTTGGGGCGGAAACGTGGATGGTCAAATCTTCACACGAGCTCTTTTGGCAGTCGGCAACTGTCACATTGAGTGCTGTGCCGCTCAGAACTGTTAGGCTTGGAACGACGAATGCCTGGCTATCGATCCGAAAAGTCTGTTCCGGTACATCAGGTGCCTGGAAGGAGAAAGACGTAGCATTCTGAATGGCGGGTCCAGAAAGCGAGAATGGGAAGTAAGTCGTAGTTCCGAACTCACTACCACTGCGACCAAATACTGAGCTTCCCGTGTCCACTTCTCGTTCTAGTTTCGTCTCGTCGTCGCTCATGCGAAGAGTTAGTGATTGCGGGGGTGAGCTGCCTGCCGGTGTGAGGATTCTGATCTTGCCCGAAAGCATCAACTTTCCGTCCTCGCTGAAGTCGTAGGTGACATTCACAGGCTTGACCGGCATGACAGTAATTGGCTCGGAGAGCTGAACACCAGCAGGCACGGTGTTGATGGCTCGGCCCATGAGCTCGGCACACGTAGCAAGAAAGCCTGTTCCTTGCGCGAATAGAGCATGCATCGTCGCATTCTTATCGCTCTCGTAAAGCCGTTTATCGGAGTTCATCGTGTCGTTGTAGGAGTTCACTAATGGTCCTCCCTTGGTACCTGTGCCATTGAGATATTCGCCGAGAACGTTCGGATCGAAGACGCCGCGTGTAGTGTCGAAGTTACTACCGCCATTCGTATTATTGGGCGTGACGAAGCTCTCGTCTACAGCCTCCGGGAAACCGCCCTACACCGATGAGTGAGTGTTGCCCAATCAAATGACAGCCAGAAACCTACGTGGTGGACGCTGCCAAGAGTGTGTCCGCAAGCCGTGAGCCCAATAGCATCCACCATGTCGAACCCCGCGCGCTCGAAGAAAAGTAACGTCTCTTCTAGATCCGTCTCTGGTGCTGGGACTCCCGTCGTCTTTCCTGCTTCAATTGCATCAACGCGGCCAGATCGAAACGGCATCTGCGCGCCTCCACACAGATTTGTCGACATGACCGTGCCGAGCGCAACAAGATCAGCCACTACCGCTTCGTCAGCACCACTTCCATCACCAAATACTCATCAGGGCGATGCACTCACTAGAAATCCCCTCTCCAACAAACGGCCTCCAAAACGAAAAACTATCGTTAAACGCACTCCCCTTATTCTCTTCCCTCGCTGTCTCGAACCCAATACTAGCATCGATACCTCCCGTGCCCGCACTTACATTCGCGGTAATAAAGTCGTGGAACATAACGCGCATCCATTGGGCAGCGGTGGTGCGACCACTGTTTCGCCCTGTAGTACCGGTCTGCGAAACATAATTCGTGCAGGGTGTGATTGCTGAAGAGAAATTCGAAGCGTAGGCGCCCCAGTTGTCTACGAGGATATGTTCGAGGAAGGAGCGTGTGGGTGTGGGGTAGTAGAATGCGGCGCGTGTGATTGGGAGAGTGGAGAGGATTGAGAGGAAGAGAGTGGTGCAGGCGAAGAGTAGCATTTTCGCTTGCCGGTAGGCACTGAATCTGTGACTAAGATGCTAGTGGCACTCCAGGGTATGCTGACGGTATCTCATCTTATATATCGTCTTCGTTCCATACTGTGTCGACTGAATGCGGAACATTTCCTATTCGGGATGCAGTGCTACATGGCAGCTATCAAGTGATCCAGATCTTCAGAAATCTGCCTCATGCGCGACTACCGCTGAAGATCGAATCGGGAGCAGTATATGATTGGCTGCGTAGACAACACCAATCCAGCCTGCACGGTTGGGTGCGATTAGATAAGCCACGGTAAGCTGACGTTCTTCTACCACCACCTGCCTTTTAGGAAGTTCAGAGTTGAGGTTTTCCCGTCGAACCTCATACTATGCCTGCAGCCCACATGCTATCCAACTTGATCCATCGCGTGGCGATAAGAGCTACGGCACCCACACCCATTACGCCTGCCGCGCAGAACCATACACCCTTGAAGTTCTCTACCGCACCGTTTCCCTCGCCCTTGAGTGCGCCCATGGCAGGGTTACCGAGCAGCCCACCGAAAGCAGCGACTAGATACGCCAATCCGAGACGTACGCCGATGGAGGCTTTGTTGGGAGATAGGGAGGTGAGGGTTGGCCCAGGGATGATAATCACGCCACCAGAAAGGAAGCCGTACACGATGCTGACAGCGATGAGACCGTTCAATTCCTGAGCGAGGGGTAGCATGCAAAGGGTGATGATGCAGGCGACGGTGAGAGGAAGTAGGGTGTTGACACCGCCGTACCTAAAGTTGTGAGTACTGGGCTATTGCGAAGACTGGATGATGAGAACGTACCTATCGGCGATGAAGTTTGGCACAAAACGCCCAAAGATATTGGCGGCGTTCATGATCGACAACAAGTTAAATGCCATATCCTTCGACACACCGAGCTTGATAGCGTACTCCTGGATGAAGAAGAACGGCACAAACGAGGACGCGACGAACAGCGTGAATGCGACGACAAAGATCGTGTATGGCAGATCTTTGAAGTGGTGAAAGCCGAAGCTGGAGCCCTTGGATCCGTACTGGAGCTGCAAGCGCATCACCACAAAAGCGACGGCGTTGGTCACCAGTATGATGAGCGCAAAGATGCGAACAGCCCACGCAAACCCGACGTTGAGGAAGAGCGAGCGTAAGGAGAGAGTGTAAGCGATACCAGCAACACTAGCACCAGTCGATGCAAGACCAGTAGCCAGCATGCGTTTTTTCTCGAAGAACATGGCTAGCACAGCGACGGGCACTATCGCCATCAAACCGCTTCCGATACCCATGCACACTCCCTGAGCGAAGAAGATGGCCCAATAGCTCTTGAAGAAAGAAGTCAGGATCAAACCCAGTACCTCGAGGCCCGTGCCAACAGCGATGATACTTTTGAGGTACCCCCGATCAAGCAGCATGCCACCAGGCAAGCAGCCAATCGTGGTGAAGAAAAGCTGTATCGAACCGATCCAGGCAATACGCGACGCATCCTGCTCCGGCATCAAGGTGTCGACGTAGTATGTTTGGAAGACGCCAAAGGCATTTGGTAAGCCCCAACTGTTCGCGAACAGAATGAATCCACCAAGAACCTGCATCCACGCCACTTTGCCATGATCAACAGGGTAATCTTCATTAGCTTGCGCACTCGCTGTGATCTCGTGCGAAAGCAGCTGTTGTGTTCTTTCACGCTGCGTCTCGTGGTATGAGAGCAAACTCTCTCTTTCGGGATCCATGGTTTGGTATTGGAATCTGTAGGGTATTTCGATAGTGATGATAGTGCCTAATAATTGGGCGCTGGTGTGTTAGCTGGCCGTGCCATGTAGCAACTGGATTTTCTCAGGGTCGATGCTTGATGGGGCGCTAGCGGGTAGCATGCCGCGGAGGATCGTCACTTTTAGTCATGAAACTGCAGGTACAGGTCCGAGCGGTGAAGGTAATCGCGCAAGCGAGGCACGATCGCGTTTGCTGCGAAGCCGGGAGCAAATACCACGAATTAGGAATAATGGAGACATCAAAGGATGTTTATGCAGTATGCATGAGTAGTTCAATTGAGGACGCCCTGAGATGCTGGTTTAGGTTACATTCGGCACGTGTAGCCACTCTGGCCACACGATCCCAGGCGCCTTCACCTTGTTCTCTTCACCTCCTTCGTCGTCACGAGGGTAACTCCCTATCCGATGCCAGACCACCTATAAGAGATCCGACACTCTGAACAAAGCCTATCTACCTGAGTTCTTCCTGAGCAGGGCCCTGTGCAACACCAGCTATCCGCGCAGACTGTGAGAGAGTGCACACACATATCACCACAGTCAAGAGGCAGAGCGCACCACCGTAGGCCAGTCCGAATCCGGTAAGACGGCGAGAGAAGATGTCACGCCAGGTGACGACCTTGCCTGGCTTATATGACGAGTCGACCAACCATCTAGCATCTTCTAATCCGGCCCTGAAGCGTTCCATGTCGGCCTTTGTAAGACTGATCATGATCTCATACGGCTCCCCCTCTTGTCCTTCTTTGTCTTCTTCCCTGGGCAAGACCACGATGCCACCTTCGCTGACCCATGCCGCTCGCCGAATAGCAGTTGCATTTGGCTTGCTCGTGCCTGGGATGCACCACTCCCTGTCAGCTCCCATTCTTTGCCAACTAGTGATGTATAGGTCTGGGCCTTTGGGGAACTTCAGAAGGGATTGTTGCGCTTCGGCAGGGTTGGTAAGGACGCTGTTGATTTGAGTGACTACCCATGTCGCGTTGATGGCGTGCAGAGCGTCTGTGATCTTGGCTGCGATGTCCTCAAGAGAGGCCGCAGCGCCGTCAAGATTCAAGGTAGGCGTAGCAGACAGCACCAGGTTGCCGAGATAATCCGGGGACGAGAAGGGCAGTGGAAGGAATTTTCTGAGGTCTACAACAACAGCAAGGGTCGACTGGGTGTTACCCGAGGCGGTGATCGATTTCGAGCGAGCACGTATAACGTTTGCCCAGACGATAGCTGACAGTGCAGTGAAGTTAGATACACGCTTCCCGATTTTGATGGATAGATCGTTGCGAAACTCTTCGATAGCTTGCGATGAGAAGCGAAACATCTCGGCAACGACTTTGTTGGGTCCTTCATCCGGTCCTTCGCGGACCTCAAAGCGCTTCGCGAATGGCTTCTCAGGTGTATTAATAGACTG